GTCAGTTGTTGTTACAAGCCGTATGTCTTCCCCTCTAACTGAGCGACGATAGGCATGGCTGACTGTTTGCCAGCACCCGCTCCCCCCCTGGCCCGGAAGGTGACCGGGGATCGACTTCAGGATGAATTCACGAGGCTGCGAGAACTGTTCACTATTGATTCTGCCAAGCTGAAGCAGATTACCGACCACTTTGTCCATGAACTCGAAGTTGGTAAGTGCAATTCACGATTCTGGCCATCCCCCTCAGGACACGAATGCTAATAGGTTTCAGGGCTTAGTGGCAAAGGGGGCGACATTGTATGTCATTCCAGCCTACTGTCTATCTGGTAGAATACAGGCTAACTGGAACGCACAGCCAATGAATCCAACATGGGTGATGGAACTGCCGCGCGGCGACGAAAAGGGAACCTTCTTCACGATGGACATGGGAGGCACCAACTTTCGCGTCTGCAAAGTAACCCTCGATGGCACTGCGGGCAAGTACGACGTCGTCCAGATGGACAGCAAGATTCCCAAGTCGTTGAAGTCTGGCACCGCAGAGCAACTGTGGCACTACATTGCCGACTGCCTGAAGCAGTTTGTCGATCGCTATTCCATCTCGCAGAAGGAGCTCGCTGAGACGCCTCTCGCCTTTACGTTTTCCTACCCTGTCACCCAAACATCCATTTCGCATGGCATCCTCCAGCGATGGACCAAGGGATTTGACATTAGCGGTGTCGAGGGGACGGATGTTGTTGCTGAGCTTCAGAAGGTTCTCAAGGAGAAGGTTAGGTCCTGCGCGTCCGAAGCACTTCCGGCCAAAGCATGATACTGACTCGAATAGGGTCTTCCCGCTCGGATCGTCGCCTTGGTCAACGACACAGTCGGTACCCTGATGGCATCTTCCTACGTCGACCCCAAGACCGAAATCGGTAGCATCTTCGGCACAGGCAGCAACGGAGCGTACATGGAGAGGTGCTCCAAGATTCCGAAACTGGCCGATCACCATCTCCCCGACGACGCACTCATGGCCATCAACTGCGAATATGGCGCCTTTGATAACAGCCAGCGAGTCCTCCCTTTCACCGATTACGACGCCGAGATCGATCGTGCCTCACCCCGACCCGGTCAGCAGCGATACGAGAAGATGGTCGCTGGGTTCTACCTGGGTGAGATCTTTCGGCTCATCCTGCTTGATCTCCACAATCGCAAGGTGATTTTTGACGGTCAGAATTCCTCCAAACTAAGCGAGCCGTATGTTCTGGACTGCAGTTTCCTGGCGACCATTGAGAGCGACGACACCGGAGATCTGCGGACAGCCAAAGATATATTGGAGAAGACACTTTCCATCACGCCTTCCCCGTCCGAGCTACGTTTCTGCTACGATCTGGCGCACATGATTTCGTTGCGGGCGGCTAGGTTATACGCGTGCGGCATCGCGGCGATTATGAAGAAGCGGGGTTTGGAAAGCTGCCATGTCGCCGTGGACGGGTCCGTGTTCAACAAGTATCCATGCTTCCCGGAGAGGGCGACTGGTGCGCTGCGGGAGATCCTAGAGTGGCCTGCTGATACCCCGGATCCGATCCGGTTGATTCCCGCTGTGGATGGTTCGAGTGTGGGCGCTGCGGTGATTGCGTCGTTGATCAGCAGGTCGCAACAGCAGTAAACCTAGCTTGGGTTCTATGGGTTATTGTCTTCATGTTTGTCGCATGGTGTTGGCTGGCGTTTCTGTATCATGCATTTCATATTTCTGGTAATAATTAGAGGATAGGAATACGATAGTGACTCGATTGATCTGTCTTGTTGAATCTCGTATACACGCAATTACCCGCCGCACAAATCTCCTGCTGAAGCATCTCCGGACACTCAAGCGGCAGCAAATGCTTCACACCGGGGACACTCCTCATCGATACCTGGATCCCACTGCGCTCAAAAAACTGACGAACCTCCTTGTCTACCCGATCCTGTGGTTCCACGACGTCGGACTCTCCGACCAGAATACTCACGCGTAGCTTCTCCTTGTCCACCGATTCCAGAGCACGCTGGAGTTCGTCGGACACATCCTCCGCCATACCGTACGTCGGCCATGCCGTCTTGGCCAGCTGATTCCCTTGCAAGCTGTCGCGTATCACCGTCTCGGTATCCTTTTGGTCGAGATTATCTAGATTCGCAAGGACATGGCTCACTGTCCAGCGGACCGACTCTGCGGTTTCGTATGCCGCTTTCTGTTGTTCCAGCATTTCTGGCGGCAGGAGTAGAGGCGTAGGGGGCGCAGGAGCGACCAGGATTAGGCCCCTGAGGTGGCTGATCAAGTCGCGTGGTAGCATTGCTAGAGTTGCCATCGCGACTTTACCTCCCATAGAGTGGCCGATGAGGATGAATCCGTGTGCCAGGATTGATTTCCTGTTTTGGTCTACTGCGAGCTGTTGCAGGACCAGCGCAACGTCGTTTGCCATGGAGGATATCGAGTAGGCCGTGTTATCGTCCTGTGATGGCCCCGTTGATTTGCCCCATCCTCGATGGTCGATTGCAAGGATTGGATATGTTGAGTTGAGAGACGCAGGGGAGTCTGGCGATGTGAGTTTGTACCATGTCGCGGAGGAGCCGCCCCAGTAGTGGAGGAAGACCAGGAGGGGTTTGTGGTGGTCGACGGCCGGGTGAGAGATACGTGCATGTATCAACACATCCGGGGGGTGGTGGAAGGTTATTGAGTCCATGCTGTCTGGATTGATTACTTGATTGAAAGGTGGACGTTCGGAATACTGACGTGCTAAGAGATGATTCTGTTACTATTATGGCTATTCACTGCGTCAGGAGAGGTTTAAATAGTCTTCTAGAGCTACCTGATAGTTAGACATGACTCTGGTATTAATAGTAATATTAACAAATAAACATCACGCCGTGTTGCGCCTGTCGATTATGTATGATTGATATAGTATCATAACCAATAAGTTGATGCTTTTTGCCCCACGCCAGTCAGATCTCGGATTTTCGGAGTCTCGGAGGATAGAGAACATGCGTCCGGACTTTGATGCTTGAAAACGAGACAACAAATAACTCAGACTCGTCAACATGCAATCGTGGAGACTAACGGCAAATATGTACAACCTGAATCTCAACAGGTCAACTCCTTCGATGCTCATTCCTTTGGTTGATGAGATGGTGCCCGTCCGACTCGATTGCCCTGACCAGGCGAACTGCCCTGCATTGTCTCAACCTCTTTCTTCGACACCAATGGCTCGTTCTTGCTGGGCGATTGGGCTCGGAGAGCGAGGTAACCACCGGCTAGCACAGCGAAAATACTCAGAAAGGCAATGTTACGGGAGCTGGAAGAGAATCTGTAAGTAGAGGTCCTCTGGTTAGAGTATGGCCGATAGCACGTACCCGCTCGCTTGAGGACGACGGCCATTTGTAAAATTTCCAGAATAAGCAGCCATGTTAAGTCCAGATAATAACTTTCAATTGTATAAGATTATTAGGAGGATCGTCAGTTGAGGCTTTATCACGTAGGCATATCTTTACATATATACAGTCTCAAGTCACTGAGTAGTGACGTCAAAAGCACCACGCATGAGCAAATCCATGTGGCATGATCGAGATCCATATTTGATACAATATCATATTCAAGATACACCAGGGCGCTGTTCGCATCCTCCTCAGGTTTGGTTCAAAGTAGTCTTGCGTCAATGCGACGTAGGGCTGCGGATGTTGTCTTGGCTGATTTTCGCCGTCGCGGGGTGGCACCTCTTGTTCTTCTCCTGCTGGCGAACAAGCTGCTCATTTGCAGTCCGACATTTGTTCTAGATCATATCTACTATACTGCTCACCTTTTCACTGTGTTCATGAAGGGAGAATACTATAGCTGCAGGGTGTAACCACGACAATGCTACGGCTATATATATATTGGACAACAAGCCACCATCATACCCCCGGGTTGCAGCTGAGTAGTATTTACAAAACAGTTTTGTCTTCTATTCGTACCATACTGTTATATTGAAGAAAAACAAAAGAAACAGACTGAATAGGCTCCTGTTCTTAATCCATAACAAGCTGGCTAGGTGAAAGAAGCCCTGAATATAGACGCTGCTTGAGGCAGAGGGTGAATGCCTTAGAAAGGTGGCAGAAAATTGTGCCTGAAGAGAGAGGCACCAACCGATTATTCAACTGGCCCCACTGTTCATTATTATTTGCATATGAAAAAGAATGAAAAGAGTCGATCTCCTGAATCTGCCAAGTGCCCCACTACGCTTGATGATGCTTGTCTTTCCGAGTTCCAGAGTTAGGATTACCGACAGTTGATTTGATACGAACTGCCTGTTCAGATAAGACTCAGCTGAAAGCTTGAGAACGTAATTTCCGCAGTGGGCCAAATATACCAATCATCTCTGTGCCTCCTCTCTACCCGACCCTCCCACCTAGTCGACATGCACTACAGCGGACTACTCCGCACGTAGTTTCAGACTCAGCCGCTAAACCCGGATCATATTATTCATGATTACTTAAAGAACTATAGATAGCGAGGAGAGAGGCAGGATTACTAGGCTAATAATGCATCAAATGGAATGTGAAGAACATCACATGGAGGTTTCCTAATCTAGACCTACGATTGACTGTTCCATTGGTAGATGTTCCTGCGTTAGAGCCGAGTGACAATAGACCAATTTCCTAACTCAGATTAGTGAGGTGACATTGTACCTGCGCTAAGTGCTGGCTTGCTTATTATGTGCCAGCCATGTCGCATCCCAATTGACTCTTCATCTCTACAATACGTCTGCTTAAACTTCAGCTTTTCCGAAAAGGGTATCCCAGGCCCGATGGCAGAAAAACGCTGCAATGATTGGTACGGAGTACTTCAGTCGTTGGAGCTAGCATGGCCCCCATACTGCTTCTTCAAATCTTCAGCTGGAGGTCAGACCAGCTCTCCATGTATAAATACGTCCAAGATGTAGTGGTGAACATCTGCTCCATTGCCAGGACAGACACTCCTTTCATTCTCTCCTCTCACGGCTGGTCCTGTCATAATGGCGAGGTTCGCTTGGCTTCTGACCTCGAGTCTTTCTTTCTCGATTCTTTCGACAGCTCTTCCGACTGACACTCATTTGCAAGCTCCTTCCAACTTTAGCACTTTCAATGTCGAACAATGGATTCCTTCTCTTGACTATGTTCCCCATAAACAGCAAGCCACCTTCCTCGCACATAGAATGTTTGGATTCTGACAGGATTTAGAACCATTCCTTTCCCAATTCAAAACAAAACCGCCCGTCCCTGGGACCCGGTTACTCAAGGCTCTACGGGAAACCTGACAAGCCATGATAACCATAAACGAGCAAGCTGTGGAGGTCCATCTCCGGACAGTCCCAGCAAGTTCTGGTATGAGACGATTACTCACAACGGCCAGTCGTCTTTCTTGGACTCGACCTACAAGAACAACTACAAGGTCTTTCGCAACGTGGTGACCGACTTTGGAGCCGACAACACCGGTGCTACCGATGCTTCAGCAGCTATTCAGAATGCCATCAACGGTATACCCTTCTGTCTTGCGCGTATGTCGTCCGGAAAGTTGCTAACGGTCAGTAGCTGGGGCCTCCAATGGCCCTAACCGGGCTAGCCACTCCATGGGCACCACTGGTCAACCTGCAATCATCTACCTCCCAGCTGGAACGTATCTAATGGAGCGAAGTCTTCAGCTCTATGTCGGTACGGTAATTGTGGGCGATGCTCTCAATCCACCTACTCTCAAGGCTAGCGCCAATTTCCCCACCGATCATATCGTCTACGGAAAAGATAACAAGCTGGGCGGCACGATCAACTTTTACATTGGCTTCAAGAATGTGATTATTGATTCTACGAGCGTTGCTGCGTCCAGGTCAATCACCTTGTTGGACTGGACCGTCTCTCAGGCCACGCAGCTGACGAATGTTGTGTTCAACATGCCGAACTATTCGAACCATGTTGGCGTGACAAGCCAGTACGACTCTAACAGCAATATCATTCTGGTCAGTTTGGTTATCATCATGCAAGGATACATAATGACTTCTACAGAACGATCTTACCTTCAATGGTGGTGCGATTGGCCTGGAGTTGAGCGGCCAACAATGGATCCTCAAGGGCATCACCATCAACGGAGCCAACGTCGGTATCAAGGCCGGCGCATTTCAGCTCGTCTGTCTCGACTGCAATCTCTCAAACGGTGCCACCGGTATCGATGCCAGTGGAATCTCTGGCTCGCTGACTGTCATCGATTCCAGCGGCAGTTCTCTCGGTAACATGATCGTCTCCTCCAACGCTGGTGGTAGTGCTCAGAACTCGATCATTCTGGAGAATGTGCAGTGCACCAACAGCGGCAGCACCGTCTCGCTTAACAACAATGCGGTACTCTCTGGCTCGGTGACAAACACCTGGGTGCATGGAAACATGGTGAGTCGATCTTCCCCTGGATTCTTGACCTGTCGGCTCACAGGATGTCAGTACTCCGGAGGAGCTACCACCCCTGCGAAAGAGCAGGGCACGCGAGTAACCACCCCTCGTGCAAATGTTCTTCTCGGAGCCAATTCCAAGTACTTTACCAAGGCACCGCCGACATACGCTCAGTACTCCTCCAGCCAGTTTATCAATATCAAGACTGTGAGCGGTCTCCCTGTTAAGGGAGATGGCGCCACCGACGACACGGCCAACATCAACGCCATCCTGGCTCAGTATGCTGGATGCAAGATCATTTACTTCCCGGCCGGTACGTACATTGTGACGGGGACGATTTTCGTCCCGGCCGGTTCGATCATTGTCGGAGATGCGTACGCGTCGGCTATCAGTGCTACGGGGTCCAACTTCTGGAATCCTAATGCTCCGACGACAATGGTCAAGGTGGGCAATGCGGGTGACGTGGGCGTCGCCCAGTTTACAGATATGCTGTTTACAGTTGCCGATGTCCTCCAGGGCTGCAAATTGGTAGGTTACCGTCACTATGTTTGGAGCTACCGCTAACTGTAGATAGGTCGAGGTAAACATTGCCGGAGCAGCTCCTGGCGACGTGGGATTCTGGAACACGCATTTCCGTATCGGCGGTGCAGTCGGCTCCAAAGTACAGACTAACTGCTACGGCACTCCAGACCAGTGCAAAGCCGCCTGGGGCCTGCTCCATCTGACCAGTACTTCCTCTGCATATATTGAGAACATGTGGGGTTGGACCGCAGACCACGACCTGGACGGCAATGGTGGCACAACCACCATCGCCACCGGCCGTGGTCTCCTCGTCGAAGCCACCAAGGGCACCTGGCTGGTCGGAACGGCTATGGAACACCACACCCTCTACCAGTACAACTTTGAGTACGCCCAGAACGTCTTCTCCGCCTTCCAGCAGAGCGAAACCCCCTACTGGCAGGGCTGGGGGAATCCCGATCTGGCCCCTGCGCCATGGTCCTCGAACCTGATCGCCAGCGATCCCAACTTCAGCAACTGCGCTGCCGGCGATGCAGGATGCCGCATGGCGCTGTTTGAGCGCATCCGTGGCTCCTCGAACTTGTTCCTCTATGGAGGCTGCGTCTGGGCGTTTTTCAACAACAACGGTGGATGTAATGGAGACTGCCAGGCGAACGCCGTCCGCATCCTGTCGTCGGCTGGCTCGGTGTATCTCTACGGTACCAATGTCAAGGCTATCAGCAACATCGTGCTCGAGAACACTGTTGCCGCCGCAAAGGAAAGTGACAACTATGGCGGATGGGGCGGTGTCGTCGCCGCGTACCTCCACAACGGCGACACAAGCAGTGGCACGCCCGGCTCCGGCGATGGCACGCCCAGCACCGGCGATGGGAACGGCGCCGTGGTTACCGGTAACGGGTTAAACTGGTACAGCTCTTCTCTGACCAACGGCGCAGCCGCATACCAGGATCCCGAATATTACTACTGCTTCGGTGGGTCGGCTGCTAACTTCCCACCCCTAGAGAACTGGATGGGCTTCACGGCGATGTTTAATCTAAACCAACAGACCTCCATGGCACTGGTCGAGTCGGGCCCCATCCAGGGAGATATCTGGAATGCCATCGTCGAAGTATCTGCCGCGGCCAAGGTCGATCCTCGATTGATCCTGGCAGTAGTTATGCAGGAGGTATGTCAGAGCCTCTATCCTCTTGGACCAATGCTAACACCTCACAGTCTAGCGGCAATGTGTACGTCGGCTGCACGAATAACGGCGTGCAGAACTGCGGGCTGATGCAGGCCTATGCGGGGTCGGTGTCGTTCGATCCCAACAATCCTCAAGGAAGCATCACCCAGATGATCATCGACGGTACACAAGGCACGGCACAAGGCGGCGGTCTCGTCCAATGGTTCAACAATGAGAATGTTGGGGCCAACACCGGTGGTAACCCGTACAATGTGCTCCGGGGCTACAACTCGGGCAGCATCAATTTCAACGATCTGAATGATCCCCAGGGGGCTACTGCTTCGTATGTCAGTGATGTGGCCAACAGATTGCAGGTGAGTCTTCTCTTCGGGATAGAGGAGCATGAGACTAACGAGGCTAGGGATGGAATGGTAATGATGGCCACGGGTACAGAGCTGCTTGTGGCTGGAGGTGATGAATACCTGCGGAATCTCAATACGGTAGTATGCCGTAGACGATCTTACCGAATCGTGGAATGCTCATCGCTTCATTTCATGGCCTATTATTGTTGGCTAATGTCACTCTTTCTGTATAACCAAGATAGCCATTACCTGATCACCTCGCCTTATGGTTACTTCCACACGTTTATGAACCGTAGAATACTAATCTCATATATGTTCCTATTCATTTACTACCAGTCGATGTGGATACAAGGAGATAGGGCTTTGCGCTGAGATAATAACATCATGTTGACTCGTGAACTTCAAAAACCAGCAATACTTTGACTTACTCCCGCAAGGAGGCGGCTAGTTTGGCATAGCTTCCACTGCCCAACGCAAACGTCTCTCTATTTGAAGATCTTCCGGAGCAGTGTGGCACTCCAGTATATAATTTTCTCAGAATGGCTTTGGAAGGTACTACATCAACTCGCATCCCCAGACCAGCCGCTAAGTGCGTTCTTCTTGCATGAACTAATCCCCTGCCATTTCGTGTGTCTGTAGTTTGTTTGACACGGAACGCGCAATCGTGCACACCATGGGCATAGTCGGGGTGGTTGGAGGGACACTGATGTTTCTAGCACTATCCCCACATCACCCCAGCTCTCGTATCTCAGATAAAGAACGACAGATGGTGAGAGGGGCCAATGGGACTCGGTTTGGCACAGAGACTGCAAGGCCACTTCGAATTGATTGCCTGGGTGGAATGCAGAGGAACTGTGAAGATTGAAAACAAACCGCAATGGTGTCCCAACACACTGTGATCAGCTGTATCTTGGAAGCCCAAGTAAACTGAGATCTGTGTCAACTACCAGAATAAAGCCTCTCACGGCACAAAAGATAGCCATCCGCTGTGAGGACTCCAGACCTCACAAGATCATCCCTAGTAAACCTGTAGATTGCCCTCGGCATGCCTACGGCCAGCCTCGTCTGAAATAGCAGCGCACCTAACTAGAAGCGCATGATCACTGCCCGGTTTTTCTTGGCTGCGACGTCCCTCAGATATTGGCATTTGCAGCAAATGCTTGCGCCGTAATAAAGCAACAGCGATCCATGGGCTCAATAGCGAGCGAGGAACAATCGGCCTGAATGTCAGCATCGGCCCCTCGGTTGAGGACACGCTTCACAGTAGCGAGGTGCCCCTTCTGAACTGCAAGATGGAGAAAGCCGCTGGAATAATCTGTCACATTGAAGCCGAGACCCAGCTCATTGAGCATCCCATGCTCGTCGTCTGACCACGTCCAGCAGCGACATGAATGGTAGAACCCGCTCTTTTACAGTTTCCTTAGGGTGTAAATCTGCCTCTGCTTTGATTTCCTTCTTAGCTGCCTCAGTATAGACATGCTTCACCGCCCACTGAAATCCAGAGTTGCTGCATTGGGCGGTCTTGTATTGGTAGAGCTGGAAATTGAGCGTGCCGTAGAAGATTTGGGTGATTTAGCGCAATGCTTTGAGATCTCGCTGCGAGTCTACATGGTCCACGACGAGTATTGTTGCCTCGATGCGGTGGAAAGTATGGAATAGACACGAAAAATGGCTTCACACGCGATGGAGACTATGAGAGGTCAATGATAGCAGCCCCTCAAAATTCGGTCATGGTTTACTGAGGCTACCAACATGCCACAAATGTAATCCTTCTACTCTATCCGCTTCAATCCGGCATTAGGTGAGAATACGCGCTCTCTCCTGCTCAACTTCCTTTGAACCAGGCCACACTTCCAGCATATCCAGAGTCGAGATCGGAATCCTCCTCACGGCACATTACCCGGCTTCCTGAGCCTCCATTCATCCACGTGCTGATACCGAGACGCAAGGACTATATCCACAGCATTAGGGCTGACATCACAGCATTAGGGTGGACATGCAGCCATAATCACTAGCATGAAATCACGCACGCACGCAGGTAGCCTCAATCCCAACAACCACCACAATGGCAGGAATAGTCTCGCAGTGGAGAATCTCAATGGCTCACCAAGAGCATATCCCGTCCTATTCCTTCAAGTCATGCGGCGAATCTACTGCGCCTTCTTCGGTTAAACTGAAACATATTGAAATACATGCACTCTGGCATCAGATGAGGGATCGAATCAAGCTATGGATTTGGACCTGCGGGATTTGGACCTACAGCCAAGTGAGTCAACGTTAGCTTTAGATTGCGTAACGATGCTCCGCAGATGCGTGCAGAAGCCAAAGAAAACTCTGCATCCTAAAATCTCACCAGCAGCTGAGGCGAGTCTTGCGAGATGATGCAATTTTGAAGTATACCACATCTCATTAATAATGTATGCATACAGATACAGCGGATTTCACCTACCCTGAAATACATATGGTTACAGTACGGGGTGTATTGTTATATTACCTTTATTACTCGATACACCAAGACAATTCTGACGTAAAATACCAATACACGATGGGTGTTTCTTAGCGTCGCGTAATATACGTTGCTTACAGGCGAGAAATCTATGATAAAAAGAGAGTAAATGGACTAAATAGGAAAATGATCCTCGAGGTAATCTGCATATTGTGCAGACTCCCTGCTTATCCATATCAGGTTAGGGTCTTGTTGGTTGATGCACTTCTCAGCTGAGACTGGGAATTAGCCAAGGCGCTTACAGCATTTTCACATTGGGGCTCCCAGACAGGTGAATGAAACACTCCGTGGGGACGGGTTGTAGGAGTGCTGTCAACTGCTGCTGTGGACTTTTGCGTTGTCTGACCTGCCGTCCTGAATCTCCTTCAACTCCAGCCCCTCGAAATGTCAGTGTTGAGCACGCTAGGTCTGGAGAACTGCGCAAGCAGCTTTTCCTATACCCAATATGCCGTTTCGATAGCAATAGCCGGATTGATTCTGGTAAACCTGAAGGGTGTGGTCGGGTTCTGGCATGTATGTCTTCTTGTCGCGCTGTAGGAGCCGTGATCCAGCCATGACTTACTATCCTAGGTGCGGTTAATCAAAGGCCTATTTACCCAATACTTTCTCGCCAAAGACGCAAAGCCCGAGACGAACGATACCAAGCGCAATGGCAAGGTCGTCACAGTTGCAGAGGGAATCCCTCGTCTCTTTTCCTACCTTGTCACGACCCATCGCAATTCTCCCATTGACTGCGACTATAACATGCACAAGTCCAACAGCACCTTCTTCTCTGACCTGGACATCAATCGTGCCCAGTTGCTAATGCGGCTCTTTGGTGGTTTACCGCGGTGGAAGCCAACCTCGGACGGGAAAGCAGTAAGCAAGCATAACCAGGAGAAGACATTGAACATTGCGCTCGGAGGAGTATCCTGCGTCTTCAAGCGAGAAATTAAACCGCTCCAGCGGTTTGAAATCTGGTCTCGCGTGCTTGCTTGGGACGATAAGTGGCTCTACATTGTGAGCTACTTTGTTCTCCCGGGGACTGGCGTTGCAGTCATGAAGTCCCTGGATGAGGAAGCAAAGAAGGGAAAGGAGTTTGATCCCAATAAGGCTATTTTGGCTTCTTCTCTCAGTCGATACGTGTTCAAGGACGGGAGGATGACAGTCCCACCAGAAGATGCACTTGTCTGCAATGGGTTGTACCCGGCAACGAAGAGCGCGAAGGATGCTGGAGGGGACGAGAGGGCATTTGTCAGTGAAAGAGGTCGAGCATTGGAGGTTGCACGATTTTTTCACGGATTAGATACTCTCCCTTCGCACTTTGGGGTTGCAGCATCTTCGGTATTGGGGCGATACGCTGATCTGTAGCCTCGAGCTGAGAATTTAGATAACGGTGATGTCCAGCGTCTCGTGCACCTGCATATATATAGACTTTTGGCGAATATTATGAATGATATCCGTCGAGAGTAGGAAACTCTAGATATACATGAAGTGAAGGTCCAAAATGAAACAAAGTCATACCAGACCACAGACCTTGTTTCTATCACTGTGGTGGTGGCAAGCTCAACGTAAGAATATAATGAACTATCAACACGTAAATCTGGGGTAAAGAGAAGTATCCTCGAACAAAGTAAAAGCATGAAACTTGAACTGCAATCAAGAACAAACGCCGGTGAGCATCATCTGTAAGGGGATGCCGCCCGCTCACGCAGTGGCAACATCTCGTCTCCTCCTAGGTGGTCATTAGTCGGGATCTTCTGCATGTCCTTGTGCTTTCGCTTTTTGCAGCAGGAACAACAGCATGCGCAGCAAAAGATCTTGCGCAGAGGGCTTGGGGGCATCTTTGCGTCGGGACCTCTGATGATGGCCCCGGGATGTACCACGTTCCAGACCATAATGGCAAACCACATGGGCACTGCGTCGAAAACGTACAAGTACCATTCGTGCCGTGGAATGGGGTTTGAAGCGTCGGTCCCTGAGGAGAATTCCACCAGCCGATAGATGATGCGCACAGTAATGAACAGCAGACTCGCGTATAACGCATACAGTAAGCCTCTCCATTTCGTCTTGATTCCGACCAGTCTTCCCTGGCGATCTAGGTGGAGCATCTGGCGGTGAAATTGGACTGCGATAAAGAGGAAGAGAACAATGAAGAACTGTTGGATACCAATGCCCCCCATGTAGATGTGAACACCCTTCATCATCGTGGCTTGATCCGCCCCGGGCCCAGCCATGCCACCTCCAATCAATTGGATAACGAAGGATCCCAGGTCCAAGAGGACAAAGATCATGGCGAGCAGGGAGGGATTGAAGATGCCTATTCGACGGTCCGGTAGAAAGAAATGGATCATCCGAGCCAGAACCATGTAGTCGAATGCATTGACCCCTGAAGCGATGGTTAGCACCTATCTGAATCAAGACGAGAAATTGACGGGAAAGGCGTACACAATGGAGACAGAAGAATGAACAACTGAGTGATTGTGGCAAGAGTAGTGTCCTGCTGATTCCGCGTACTCAGTGTGCGTGTCAGGAACCCGATACACTCCCATGCCGCACTCATCAAGATGACCCAGACGAACCCTGCCTTGTGAACAGTGGCCTGGACAAAATGCGCGATCATCAGGATACCGAAGAGGACGGAAAAGGCGAGTGCAGCGCCAAAGGAAGGGTAGTACTGGTAGAGGGCATTGCACTCGCTCGGCGGCACGTAGCCATTCGCATCGGGAGTAACGGTAGGTGTGCAGGTGTTGGAAGGCAGATCCAGCGACAGACTGAAGGGCTTGATCGTGGGAATGTCAATTGTGATATGGGGGTCATAATCATCTGGGGCTCTCTGCTGGAGACTGGCGACGTCAGTTGTAGTCGGAGCAAGAGTGGGAGCAGAAATCGGCGCAGGAGTCGGCGCAGGAGTCGGCGCAGGCACAGCAAGCACTCCAATTGCAGAAATGAGCAACAGATAAAGTAACGACACTTGCAGACGCATATCTGAATGAGTTGGTTTGAGCGACCAGAAAAAGAATGGGAAGATCGATGACAGCGAGCTATTCAATCACAATAAAAGCCGAAGGTGACACAAGTCAAGGAGCATAGAAAAGAGATAAGAAAATTGGTAGGCGCTTCCCCATACACTCCAAGGACAGCCGTGATTTAAACCTAGATTTGTATTTGGATGATTGCAGCAATCTTTGTTGTGCTTTTTGTTGTTGCTGCTGCTGTTGTGATACACAGTGATCCGCCATGCCGCCTCCTGATTCTATTTCCGGAGTCAGCAAGAGATGCAGGGTTGTATGTGTGAGCATCTGGCAAATGGACCAGTCACAGCGCATGGCGGCTATTGTGCCTTCAGATTCGATCTATATCAAGAGGATTTATTGGGTTAAGACTCGGTGATTAGGCGTCAAAGAGTCGTGGAGGGGGAATGGGACACGGTCGTTGATTGGATTCTTGTTAGGCTACCGAATTTGTTCTTAGTCGTTCAGTAACTGGTAATTGGTAAATAACAGAGCAAAAAAGAGCTGAATCAGGCTATTTTGCTTGTAGTCTAGCTTAGTTTCAGTTTTACGTAGGAGCCTGGGTTAGATTGCCCAAGGAATCTGACATAGTATGTATTGTGGCACAGTCTTAGGCTAAAATCGGCCACCCGTATTCTACGAGTCTAGACTGTTTGTCTAGAGTACATGGACCCTGTAATAAGCGATGTAGCAGACCATTTCTGTATCGATGCAACATCTCCTACCACGTAAGGGGCCACATAGCTCAGCTGATGGAGAGAAGTAAGCACTAGGCGCTAGCATCTTAATAGCAGCACAAACTTCATATTACTGGTACTCCACATCAACCCAGATCATGGAAGCCAAGCTCAAAGGATTTACTCACACTTAAGCACAAATTCTGGCGTTTGTATGGCTGTGCAGCAGGTAGTGCTATTGGGCTGTCAGCACCAGCACAGCAGAATTGATGAGAGAGAGGAAGGCGGGATACGTACTACTTTTTAGCTGCATTTTCAATATGAATAATGGCTTTATCCCCAGCCTCCTGTTTTATGCCCTATTCTTTCTTGCTGTAGGCAGATTCGATTAGATCCACTGGGCTCGGTGACTGCTGGTGATGTGTTCCATCGCCGCTGAGAATGTCTTTGGCCCAACAGTGGCTGCAGACTGTCGAAATGGATTCGACTTTACTCTGTTGTTTGAGGAGGGATTCTTTGTCATTGCTCCTTGCAGTATCCTTCTTTTGACTCTGCCGTTGCAGTTATATCGATTAGCGACTCAACGGCCTCAGGGTTCCACCACTGGTCCTGTTCTCTACGTAAAGCTGGTAAGACTGGATTGCTGAGATATGGACATACAGGCCCGTAGGGTGAAACTAAGACCATGCACATAGCTAAGCCATCTCATTTCCACGGTCGTCAAAGTCGCGCTCCTCATTCTTCTTGTCATTCCCGACCTCCATGTCCCCAAGACTCGTGCCACGATCGCCGCCGCGGCGATATCTGCAGCGGCCTCTATCTCAGCGCTTGCCCTGTCATATTGGCAGCATCGTCGGTCGCCGAGGCCGTCAACTGTCTTGACGCTTTTTTTGGGCTCATGTATTCCCTTGGATGCGGTTCGTGCTCGAACAATTTGGGCAGTGCAAACCAGGACGTTCTTTATTGTCTTTGTCGTCGGTCTGGGATGTGATACCGTCAAGTTCATCTTGGAATGCCTGGAGAAGGCAGGGCATCAGACCCAGGATCTGAATCCGCTACCCAGCGAGACCACTGGCAACGTATTCAATCGGAGTTTCTTCTGGTGGCTCAATCCGTTGCTGGTCCACGGCTTCAAGGAGGTCCTGGAGGTCGAGAAACTAACTACTATCGATGAACGTGTGACTAATGAGACAGACGCGGATGTATTTGCAAGAAAATGGGACGCTGGTATGGTATTTGCCAATTGTTTAAAACACTGTTAACTGACACGCTGGTAGTGGTCTTCAAATCGTCGTCGGCGATGATTCTCCTGCTTCTCGTCCACCATCGGTGGGCTATTCTCGCCGCGGTCATCCCTCGTCTCGCGCTGACAGGTTTCACCTTTGCCCAACCTTTCCTGTTGACTAGGATCATTAGCTACATCACTGAACCCAACGGCGCGCTGACTGCTGACTACGGCACCGGTCTCATCGCCGCCACCGTCCTCATTTACATCGGCCTTGCCATCACACGAGCCAATAATCAACACAAGACATACCGGCTTATCACCATGATACGCAACAGCCTTGTTCCCCTGGTGTACCGGCAGACCCTGCGTCTGGATGTTGGTTCGGTCCGCGATTCTGCCGCACTCACCCTCATGAGCGTCGACATTGAGCGGATTAGCTCTGGGCTGCGGTATGTTCACGAAATTTGGGGCAGTCCAATTGACGTCGCTCTTGCACTTTGGCTGTTGCAGCGGCAGCTCGGCGTCGCTGCGGTGGCGCCGGCTGGTATCTTTGTGGGTACGTTAAACTTTCTAAATATAGGAAATGCAAGTCCGTTGCTGACGAGATAAAAAGTATGCAGTGTGTTTGGCCTCGGAGTAGCGAGCACCATGGGAGCACGTCAGCGTCGTTGGCTCGAAGCCATTCAAGAGAGAGTTCAAGTGACATCGGAAATGCTCAAGAGCATGAAGGAGATCAGGCTGAGCGGGTTGCAGGCTCCCATGGCGTCGAAGCTACAAGGTCTGCGAGCCCAAGAGGTTTCAGAATCGCGACCCTTCAAGAAGGCGTTGGTAGCTATTGTGACGTTGTGTAGGTGAGATTCCCCCTTTACCCAGGGTCCAAAAGTTGACAGTCTAAGCGTTTACCACTGCTGCCTCCGGTCCCTTATTGGCGTTCACGATGTACACTCTTCTAGCCATCCGAGATGGAACCCGTGTTCTCGACTACGACAAAGCGTATACCTCCTTGTCGCTGTTGGCCCTGCTGCAGACTCCGATGGCGCTTATTCTCGACGCCTTTGCCGGGGTAGTCACTGCTGTCGGAGCCTTGCAGCGCATCGGCGAATATTTGTCTAAATCTGCCGCATGTGCCCCCGAGCAGGATAATAATGCTGGAACGAGGCGGCTGTCATCCCCGTTGCTGTCCTACCCCTCGTTCGGCGAAACGGAGAAACAGAGGGACACAGTCGTCTATATGCGCGATTTTAGCGCCGGGTGGGACGAGAAGAAACCATTTGTCATCAAAGATCTTAGCATTGAGATTCTCTCATCGAGCATCAACTTTGTCGTCGGACCTGTGGCGTGTGGCAAGACAACGCTGCTCCATGCCATTCTCGGCGAGACCGTCCACACCGAGGGCATCCTGCAATTGTCTCCCTCTAGAATCAGCTTCTGCTCTCAGACGCCGTGGATTAGCAATGATACAATCCAGCACAATATCCTTGGGACGAACCTCTTTGTTCAAGCCTGGTACGACAAGGTGGTAGACGCGTGTGCGTTGCGAGAAGATATCCGGAGTTTTCCTCATAGAGACCAAGAGGTCATTGGCAATAGTGGAATGACGCTGAGTGGAGGTCAAAAGGCACGATTGGTGAGTGGGATGGATATCCAGAAGCAAAGAAGTAGAGGCTTACTCCACCAGGGAATTGCGAGGGCTATATATGCCCAGGAGAAGCTCCTCTTGCTTGACGATGTATTCAGTGGGTTGGATGCAAAAACTGAAGAGCGCATTTTCCACAACTTATTTGGTGCCAATGGACTGCTCAAGGAGGGAGATACAACTGTTATTTTGGCTACAAATGCAGGTAGGTAATCTCTTCCCTTGCAGAGATTATTTCTGACCCGGCAGTCCATCGGATCGCCTATGCGGACAATATCATAGTTCTCGATAGCAATGGACGCCTGGCGGATGAAGGTACCTACAAGGAGGTGAACGCGTCCGCGAGTGAGATCACGCTCGCACCCACGGCTAGCATAGGCGTGGAGAAGAAGGAGTCTCCTGAAGAGACAACGTTGGGACCCTCGAGGCCGCCTTCTCTGATTGAAACTCCTCAAGGAAGCGAACGGCGGACGGGAGACATGACTGTCTACAAGTACTATGTCCAAGCTGTCCACCCTTGGAATGCAGTAATCTTTGTCATCGCATGTGCCATGTTTGTTATTGGTCTCAGCTTACCTCGTGAGTATACGTTGTATGCCAGACTGAGAGAGATCGACACTAATTTCCGCAGAATTCGTGGTGAAATGGTGGCTTCAAACCAGCGATGAGTATACGATCAGCCACCGGGGCCAGTATTTGGGTATCTACGCTGCACTGGCTGGCCTGTCCATTGTCTCACTTGCTATCGGCGCTTGGTACGGAGTTCCTCACCCTTTCTGTTGCAGGATGCTAATGGTGTAGGCAACTGACTGAGCGAATGCTTGCCCGAGCCTCGACCCATTTTCACAACACTCTCCTAAGCACCGTTCTGAATGCCCCCCTGCGGCTGTTCTCAACGACTGATGTTGGGACCATCATCAACCGCTTTGCGCAGGATCTGCAATTGGCGGATATGGAACTACCGCTGGCGCTGTTCAACACCACTGTCGAGCTGTTGCTGTGTGTGGCCCAGCTCGTCATCATCGCCGTGGCTTCGAAGTACATCGGCATCGCTCTGCCGGCCCTCCTGGGTGTCTTCTACCTTGTACAGAAGTTCTACCTCCGGACCGCCCGCCAGCTGCGCCTTCTTGACATCGAAGCCAAAGCCCCCCTGTTCTCCCGCTTCCTCGAGGTGTTGTCCGGACTGGTGACCATCCGCGCCTTCGGATGGCAGGACGAGTTCGAGCGCCGCAACCGCCAGGCCTTTGATATCTCTCAGAAACCCTTTTACCTGCTGTTCTGTGTCCAGCGCTGGCTCAACCTCGTCCTGGATCTGGTGGTAGCAGCCATCGCCGTGATCGTCGTGGCCATCGCCGTGCGCACAAAGGGCAGCGTTGACGCGGGATTCCTCGGCATTGCGCTGGTCAATATCGTGCAGTTCAGCATCAGTATCAAGACATTGCTGTCCAACTGGACGCAGCTGGAGATATCCATCGGTGCAGTGGCGCGTATTCGCTCCTTTGCCAAAGATACCACCTCTGAGGAGGAGGGCCATTTGCAGGATGACGCGCTCCCAAGCGTTCCGCCGTCCTGGCCTGAAAAGGGTCATATCGAGTTTCGAAATGTGACGGCCACATATGACGGCTCTACGCAGATGGTGATTAAGAATTTGAATCTCACTATCCAACACGGCGAGAAAATAGCTCTGTGTGGGAGGAGTGGAGGGTAAGTCTTTTGCGATTTCTCTTATTTAATCAGTAACTAATGATGTACAGCGGAAAATCGTCCCTGGTTTCAGCTCTATTCCGCCTCCTGCATGTCTCCCAGGGCACAATCACTGTTGACGGAATCGACATCAGTACCATCCCCCGCGAAACCTTATATACCCGCCTTGTCTGCGTCACACAGTCGCCGCACCTCCTATCGGGCACAATCCGAGAAAACATCGACCCATTCGGCACTGCCTCTGACCCAGCCATCGAGCACGTCCTGAAGGAAGTCAAACTCTGGGACAGTGTGGAATCACTGGGTGGCATCGGCGTCTCCCTGACTGATGATCACTTCAGTGTGGGGCAGAAGCAGCTGTTGTGCCTGGCACGGGCCATGGTTCGGGCCGGCTCGATCCTCATTCTCGACGAGGTGACTGCCAGCGTCGACTGGGAGACCGATCAGCTGGTGCAGAAGATCATCCGTGAGCATTTTGCAGAGAGGACAATCATCACCATTGCGCATCGGATCACCACCATCCTGGATGCGGACCGGGTGGCTGTCATCTCGGAGGGGGAGGTTATTGAGTTGGCGCCGCCCAGCGAGTTGCTGGCGCGGGACCCTCCCAGTCTGTTTCGGGGGTTATACAATGCCAGCACTATGAATCTGGCCGCTATTTAGTTCAGTGTATATTGTCTCACACCCAGAGTTACTATAGAACGCGTTGTTACTGCTAGAACCAAATTGCGGCCTCTCAAGAGTAGGATAATAGGGTCCTTCATTGCCTGGAGATTAACCATCCAGTCGCAGCTGGGATGTATCTGACATCACGCCTCCAGCCTTTGTCATGCTTAGCTAATTTCTAGCGAGGTATCATCACAAATAGTCTTAACATCCCTGCTAGCAGCTTGCGAACACGCGGTTCAGCCCGAGGTATCATTGGCCAAGGTTCTGCTACCTGCCTGCCTCCCACTGCGCCAGCGGCGGTGAGTCAGGGGGAATCTAGTTCCGAGCACTATATAATTAACTACGGAATAACTATGACGAATGGGTGAAGAGACTAGTAAAACATTCAGGGTGTGGCTTTTTTTTAGGGTCACATCGAATTGTGCCGCCCGCAGGCTACTCCGCACTACCCAAGTTACTGATTGGAAGGCCGTCCAGGGCCTAGGCAACGGACAGGGCAACGGCTGTGCAAAAGCCAAGTCTCTTGGCCAAGGTGATGTAATTAAGCTTATGAATGTTATCGGTGATTTCTCGGATAAGTGCGGGTTATCCGCCAAGTGCTGCTTTAAAAAATTCACCGATTGGGTGCCGCAGTTATATGATCAGCCTGGCTGGAGATGGCTGCAGGTAAGTATTACCCCTCGTACGATACGATCTGGTATTCGAATGCATTCGTGTATTACATGTTTTCATACCTTAACATTCAGCGTAATAATACCGTTGTATCAAGATACCTAACCAGCGGCGTAAGTATCTCATACCAAGGACTACTATCCTGCCCCTGGCGTAAGTACCAGCAGACCAAGAAGAATAGATTACTCTGACACACTATAAAATGCGTAAGATTTATTGATTAGGCGACTGGTCCATTTTCGCCTAATATATCCCTGCAAAGGTGATTGAAGTCGTGCTATAGTTTCCACTTTGGTTACCTCAGTTTATCAGCCAAGGCGGGTAGGTCCAGTCTACGGTATCCCCAAACAAATGCGACTAGATGCATGAATGCGTTGTTTTCTATCCCACGTAAGACAGCAAACTAATATCGAGCACCCCTCCTAGAGAACCGGTGAAGGTAGTCCGTCGGAAAGCGACGCGTCCTAGCTCGCAACATATCCGCCCGCTCTTGCAAGCTCATATTGGCCTGCTGCGCCCCTAGAGGCACCATGCACTTAGCAAGACAGGCGTAGTCCTTCTGTAGTAACTTGACCGTCAGCATCATGTAGTCAATGTTTCGGAAGACGAGCGCGTTTTCGTTGGCATAGCGGTCTCGGTCTTTCAGGAGGGCCACAGGATGATCGCGCCAGTGGCGACGCGGGTGCAGATGGTGTGAGGTGTGGTAGCCGTCATTGAAACAAAAGCGGTTACTCTGTAAATGTCGATGACCATTAGTTTGCAAGTTTGCAATTAGGCAATTGCAGAGGCGCAGACGTACCGCAACATCGATCAGAGTGATGCTCGACCGAAAGTCGGATGCTGGATCGTCAGGATCCACAAACGCATGTTGTCCCCAGTTGCCCGCCATGAGGCCCAGTCGAAGAGTCAGCAGTGGTAAGATGAACACGCAAAACGCGGCGCGAGGGTTGACGTGTCTCCACATCAAGTAGATGAGCATGTAATTGCTCCCCTCCCACAAAGCTGTCTTGAGGGCATATTTCCGCTTTCCCGTCCGCAGGAAGTACAGCGGCAGATCCAGCCAGATTAGGAAAAAGAAGCGGCCCACGTAGCAGGCAAAGTCCGTGATTGAGTCGCGGTCATACCACATGGTTGAGTTGAGGTCTGCCGGCCCGTTGCCCTCAACATGATGATGCTTGACGTGGTGGTAGTAGTATGAGTTCCAGGTGTGGCCCAGCAGCGGATCCACGAAGTAGGGAAACAATCTGTCGAGTACCTGATACTTTGGGGCGAGGACGCCGTTCATATGGACATACTGGTGCTTCATGAGGGTGTACGTGCCTGCGAACCAGACATGCAAGATCCAGTGCAGCAACCCATGGATCCAGGTAAAGTAGTAGCAGTGCAGCCAGATGGCGCTGGGAATAGATATTCCGAAATAGACTAGCAGATGAGTGACCATAACCACGTCTGTAGGGTGCCGGGCAATTTCTTGAGCCCAGGCGATATAGGGATCTAGGGCGTATTTTCGGACGAATGGCGGCAGCTGGGTGCGCAACTGATGGGTATCCCAGAACTGGAAGACTGTCGGATCGAACCCTACTTCCTTTGGATTGTTCAGACACTGTAGCGTCTGGACAGTTTCGGATGTTTTAGATGTTTTGCCTGTGGCTATCAGTTATCTGTGACACTACTGGGACACTGGATACACACTTTCTGCTTCTTCATTCTTAAGTAGCTCCTGAAGCACCAATTGATCAGGAAGTGTTAGGTAAGGGTCGATGAACGTTGAGGGATCCATGATGACGCTATGCGGACAGCTGGATTGTCATTGCAGAGAGCAGTTTCCTGGTGAGCTGGCAGAGTTATATATAACAGGTCCCAACATCGAAGTGAAGTGACCAAGATATCCCCCAAGCTTAACTGAGCATGGCCGATTCACACCCAAGACCCATTTCTATTAAAAGGCAATGCGTAGAGGAATCAATGATGCCTGGAGGCTAAAGTTCTTTAGGGTGTTTCACTGTCTCGTGAATGGCGGGGAAGCACAGCCACTGTCATTAGACGAATGTTCCCTAGCCACGTTAGGGGCTTTTGGAAGCGTATACGAGTTTTAGCTCTTAGCCAAATAGGGAAGTAGATTATACGAGAGCGATGTCCGTGCGAGAAATCGCAATGAACTAGGCGGAAGCATTATCAACATCACGATAATTGAATTGAATGAACTGGCTCAAATAGGTAGCAATGCGTTCAGAAGATATCAGACAGGCGTAGTGGACCAAACATCAACGTAAAAAGTTACATGAAACGAGAGACAGGAGTAAGAATACAATCACGCTTGTGTAGCAAGCAGAGTCTGAGCCATCTCCCATACACGAGACCCATCCACAAGATCCTCAACAGTAACATGATACCCCTGCCGCTGCCAATAGGCTGCAAGCAAGGCAGTCGCCACCAGATCACCGCCGACGGTGAAGAAGTCCGAGTCCAAGTCCAGTGAAAGATCTGAGGACCCAAGAACACGTCTCCAGCTGTCGTAGATTGCATCAACCATGGCACCAATTCGCTGGTCCGAAGGGGCAGTAGCATGCCCATTTCCATTCACCAATGGTCCAGCCGGGTGTGGTAACGGAAGGACAGCCTTGTTCTCGATCCACTTCGAGGGAAGTTCTTGCGCTGTGGGATCAGATTGGCAGATACACTGAACAGTCTCGCAAACCAGGTCCAGCAAGACCGTTGCGGTCTGCTCACCCACAGTTCGCGACGAAGTGATGAGGAGGACCTCCATCCCCTCCTCATCTAGCGGAGTAGTCTTGATCGCCACGTCAGCCTCGTCTGCTGCGGGACAAAAATCACCAATGGTGTAGTCCCTGGTATCAAGAGTCACAGTGGAGACCTGATCGATGTTCTGGTGCTGCACGATGGTGCTGAAGCGGGTAGATGGAGTCCAGGGACTACATTCTCTGACCAGCTGGCGCATGCCGATAGACTCGTGAGACATGCTAGCCACATGCTGGGATTGCAGGTTCCGCAGAAGATCAGTCATAGTGGTAGTATCGTCAATCGTGGCGCGGACGGGAATAACATTCAGGCACGCGCCGATGATGCGCTCCATGTCTGCGCCAGGAATATTGCGACCGGAAGTAACATGGCCAAAGACCACATCAGTCGTTCCGGAAAGTGAAGCCAGAACCGTTGCCCAAGCGGCTTTCAGAATGGTAGCAAAGGTAATGCCCAAGCTGGAGAGACTGGTGGAGGAAACAGAAATTGTGCGGGTCAGATGCAGATCATAGACATTGCGGTAGTCGGGCTTTGTATGAGCCACCACATTGGTCATCTTTGAATCTGCCAACAGGTTCTGCCAGTAGGTCGGAGAATCGCTGCTGCGCTTGGAGGAGTCGATAGCGGCCACGCATTGAGCAAAAGGAACCTCCGGGGTTATTGACTGGCCGGAGAAGATACCCTGCAGAGTCTGCCAAATCTGTGGCAGGCAAACGCCGTCATACTGAGCATGAGAAATGCGTAGGATGAGACGGTGACGTTCTTGATTGCCGACAACAATCAACTTAGCCAGTGGATCTCCAAGCTGTAGATCCGAGGCAACGTCTTTGCGACAAAGTTCGGCACAAAAGATGTCAAGCTCTTGATCAGTTTCGTACCACTCAGCTTCATGCGGGGTCTTCTTGAGCACGACTTGGTAAAAGCGATCACCGTGCGCCGTAAATGCAGTGCGAAGGATCTGATGCGCTTCGAGGAACCGCGTCCAGACGGCTTGTACGTAGTCGGCACTCCATGGGAGCTTTCCTTGGCCGTCCAGGAAGAGGTAGTTGAGAAGGCCGCGTGTTTTCATCATCGAGTGTGTAATCGCCCATGCCTGGAAGTCTGTTGTTGGCAGAACGTCGACGATGTTATCAGAACTCGTGTTAATGTCGGCTGCAATCTTGGCCACGAGGTCGGAACTAGCATTGTGGATCAGAGAGAAGGGCTCGTAAGTGACCGCAGACACCGGCATATCAGCATTTTCTAATTTCTTAACAATTTGAGCCGCCATTGCCGAGAGAACTGGTGTTCCGAAGATCTCCTGAACAGAGAGCTGCCATCCCTGAGCCCTAGCCAAACTGGTCAACTTCATTGCAACGATGGAATCACCTCCGGACCGGAAGAAATGATCCCCAGCGCCGATTGTATGTGCTTCCACTTGCAAAACCTTAGCCCACAAGTCACGCAGCTGGAACTCTGTCGGCGTCGTAGGCTCTTGCTTGAGGCTGTCAGCCAGGGCATAGGCTATCGCGTCTTCGGCCGACAGAGATAGAGCAAGCTCACGCAGCTGTCGACGATCCGCTTTGCCATTCATGGTCAGTGGCACCCGTGCCAGGGGAACGAACATGGAAGGAATCATGTACGAGGGCAGACTTTGGCTGAGAGTCTGCTGTAGGCGAATCAGCTCCTCCCGCAGCTCCGGCGTCATCTCCATAACTTCGGCTTCGCCACTGCGGTTGCTGATGTGCAAGAAGGCCACCACTTGCTGACGCTGAGTGGCCGGATCTTTCACGGCGTCGACAGTTGCATGTGCTAGGGAAGGCATCGCCTGTCGAACTGCATGTTCAATCTCGCCAAGTTCGACACGCTGGCCACGTACCTTGACTTGCGTGTCTTTGCGGCCTGCGAAGCGAATAGTGCCATCTGCGTTGTATCGAACCAAGTCGCCGGTGCGGTAGAAGATGCGAGGGCGGCCGGAGTCACGCGCCGGAGCCCAGACAGGGTCTCTGATGAATGCATTCGCAGTCTTGACTGGGTCATGAAGATACTCTCTCGCCACCGTTGGACCTTCGAGCAGTAACTCACCCACGCAACCAACTGGGGTCAACCGATTGAAATCCTGGGGACTGGCAATCCAGTACAGAGCACCAATAGCTTCACCCAGGTTCGCAGGATCACTACTTGCTGTAGCGGGAGGCATTCCTGAGCAGTACACAGAACACTCAGCGGGGCCGTAACAGACAATCAGATCGAGCACACTATGCCACTTTGCGATCGTGTCCCAGGTTGATGCCTCGCCTCCGAGGACAAGCGTTCTTAGAGACGGGATGTCGTTCGCAGGAAGCAAGCTGGCTACGGTGGGGGTCAAAAAGGCCCAGTTGCAACGGAATTGGTTGATGGCCTCTGGTAGAGCATTCAAACGGTCATGCTCGCAGGGAACACAAATACAACCACCTCGCTGTAAAGTTGTGAAGATGTCCGCACAGCTCACATCAAAGGTGTATGCAGCGAATTGTAACAAACGAGTTTCTGGACCAATGCCCCACCGCGTACCGTGGGCCTTGGAACTAGAGCAAAGCGATCCATGCTCGATAACGATACCCTTTGGCTTGCCGGTGCTACCAGAGGTGAAGAGCACATATGCGGCATTGCGAGGGCTCAATGCAGGAAGAGGGGCTTTCATCATGTCGGGAGATAATTGGATGTGGCGGATGAACTCCTCGGTGATGACGACTTGGTGGACGGAACTGTCCGCTCCTAAGATATTAGCATGCTGAGGGGCGCATAGCAAAATAGGCGCCTTTGCATCCCTAATGATAGTCTCCAGTCGAGCCTGCGGGTGCTTCGGATCGAGATTGACGCAGGCTCCTCCGGCCTTCATGACGGACATTTGCGCCACCACTGCCCAGCGGGATTTATCGAAACACATGGGGACCAGTACCTCAGGTCCCACACCAAGCTTGTGAAGATGTTGTGCTAAGATAGTCGAAAGGTGGTCTAGCTCGGCGTACGTGAGTTGTCCGTCCCAGGCGTCCACGGCTAGAGCTTGTGGCCGCTGAGAGACCTGCTCAGCGAAAATTTCAGGGACTGTAGACTCGACTACCTCGGGGTATTGCTGGTTCCATTGCATGATCTGCTCTCGGTCTTTGTCACCGAACATGTCGACCTCGCCGAGTAAACGCGTTTCGTTGTCGGCAACAGTAAGCTGGTTCACCAGGCACTCGAAGTGGTACAGCATATTTTGAACTTGCCAGGTCGTGAGAATTGTCTCATCATGTCGAGTTTCAATGTGCACCTTGTCGTCGCTCAGGTAACACTCAACCACGAGGGGATAGCTGTCAAAATCCTGCACGGGCAGATCCACCTCCTGGCATCCGAGGAAGACATCGGTAGTGTTGACCTCGGACGCGGGCTGAATGACGAACAAATTCTGGAACTCGATGGCGCGCGCACATTCAGGGCTGAGATTGGCAATATTCTGCAGACCAAATTGTTCATGTGGAATCATGTCTGTGGCCTGCTTCTGGACTTGGCGGAGAAAGTCTGCCACAGTGAGTGATGCTGGAAGCCGAACTCTCACAGGGACAGTGGTGATGAGGGGAGCGATTATCTTGTCAATGCCTGGAAGAGATCCATTACGCCCGGAGAGAGTCATCCCAAAAACGACGTCTTCGGAGTCGGCATAGAAGGACAGAAGAAGCGCCCATGCGGCGCGAAGGATAGTGGTCTTCAGAACCTGGGAATGGGCAGCGGGGGAAAATGGAATGGAGTGTCTTGTAGATCCACGCACAGAGGGACGATAGAAGGGGGAAGGGAGTTCAGGGAAGGTTGAGGGCAGTTGACCGTCCAATTGCTCTGCCCAGAATGCTCGAGTGGCCTGAGCATCGGTCTGGAGCAGATGATTGATGAAGGTATTGAATCCGGGAGTAAGCGGACACGTTCCGTATTCATAGACCGATTTGACCTGGTCTAGGACCATGGGAAGAGACCATCCATCGTAAACGGAGTGGTGAGCAGTCCAGACAAAGTGGCCGTCAGATG